AACAGTGTGTCAATATTTAGACAATTTGACCCGTTCATTTTACTGAGCCTAACAATTACATGAAGCATATCATATGCAAAGAAACCAAAATGCCATCATCTTTGTTTTTTAATCACGCTTAATGCGATTCATCAACTTAAGAAGGTTTTTGGAAGCGAACTTGTCTGTATTATGGGACAAATCTTGTATGGGCATATATTGTTGATAGCCAAATTGAATACTTGATCAGTGCCTATAAGCCGAAATATGCTAGCAATCATGGTGTGAAAAAACTAAATATACTTGTCATTCGTCATGAGGATTAAATTTTCAATATTCCGATAATGAAAACCCTCAAATAATTCAAGCACTAATAGAGATGTCAAAAAACACGATTTTGATTGGAACTGATGGGCCATTACAATTTATTACTATGCTTTGCCTGAAAATATCCTCATTTATAAGGTTGGAATTCTTTGAGCGAAAATAAAATCAGTAATAAATAATGTGCTATATTGAATTTCTTTTTTTTTACAAAATCATGAAAAACTGAATCTAGCGAACCAAATACCGGATTTAAACTGATGGTCGACTCTCAACGAGACACATGAAGCTTGAGAATCACGCACTGTGCTGAAATTGCCGGCATTCTAAGTCTGCGTTTGTTTGAATAGAAACAGGACCGCTTAGGGCGATACTAAGTGCAGGTTCTCTACAGGATTGCTGCGCCAACAGAGGCACATTATCAGACGTCAACAGCAAGCGGCAACAGAGAGTCCTTGTATCGCCAGGCAAATAACGTCGCACTGCAGTAACGTTCTTATGTCTCTGCCAATGAAGTAATATGAACATGACCGTCGGAATTATTGATGTACTACGTGGCTGGACAAGATTTTCTGTCTGATAGCGGCCATGCTAAGGAATGAGTGTCTTGCTTAGGAATATTTTTCCAAGTCTACTATAAGACAAAATAAAATGGGAGCGTCACGAAGAAGGATTTGAAGTTCGAAAGTATGAGGTACAAAAGAGGCAAGTTTCTGTATTTTTTCATAAACAGGCAACAACGAAGAGAAACTATGCCTTTAATGCGAAGGTGAGGAATATGGAAAGAACGCACATCGTATGATTTTGTTACTCAGTTTCTTTTGAAGGATAATGTGAAGAAGGAGCTGCCATTTTGAACTTACCTTTATTTTGCACTCTGCATATAAAATTTACCTGTCAGTTTACATTGACGATTCGAAATCAGATTATTTCTTCGTAGAATTTTCAAACGATTTTCTATTTTTAAATAATGGAGCTATTTTACATTGCGAGGAGAGTTTCTGAAGCGGCCTCTCATAAGCAGACGACATGTCTAACTCTCGGCTGCTTATGGCTCTCTTGAAGCCCTCGGCAGCCCTTCAAAGGTGGCACAATTTATGAAAAGCCGCTAACGAGAAAATTTTGTGGCGTCAGCAATGTGCGAGCGACCGATGGTGTGAGCTCGGGTCTCCGGCCGCTGGAGAAACGACGTCTGGTCTATGGTAACAAACTCGTCCTGGCAAGAGGGTGAGAAAAGACGGAAAGTAGTGACACGTGTGACAAAACGGACTTGACAGGGGATGGCCGGGGGGATCAAGTGACACGTGTGACTTGGAGTTCAAAGGGACATAACTGTAGTGACTCAAGTGTTAGAACGGTCTTGACAAGTCATTTCAAGGGAGAAGCGGAACGACTTTGGCATGACTTGAAGATTAAGTAACGTGGCTGGATTTACTCGAGCAACATAACGTTCATGAAGAGGGTGGGCAAAATGAGTTGGCACGTGGTAATTTGATTTCAAAATAACGCTACAGAAATGACACGAATTACGATGTGATATTTAGAAATGGAGCAATTTTAACATGAAGGTAGAAACTATACGTGTGGTGCTGGCATCGCAGCAAAAATTGAGCACTTTTAACATTAAGTCAGGTAGAAACTATGCGTGTAGTGCTGGCGCAATGCAGCAAAAATTGAGCAATTTCAACATGGAGTGAGGTAGAAATAAAGCGTGATGAGCGGGTGGAGTGGTACGGAAGTGGCCTGAAAGCTTCCTCTTTTATAATGAACCCACTGAAGAAATTCGTGCCGTGAATTGCAGTTCTGAGGCCACAAACTCTTTCCCGTGGGGCCAATAACGATGATAACGTCGTTATAAATGCATTTCCGAATGAGATATCATGCCTTGAAGGTTGTTAAGAAGTTTAGCCTATCATTGATAACGATGTTTGGGACTCCGCTGAAGCACCACGAAGGGACTCCTTATTTTTATTATTGTTCGCATGAACACCTAATTTATGTCGTTACTTTTGTCCTATTTTCTAATTAATAATAATTCTAACGAGAGTATTAAACCAACATTGAGGATTTATTTCACCATTAATAAATATTTATGGAATTTGGGTGTGGGCAGCGGGAACAGTCAGCATTAAATATACATCAAACCTGTAGGCTAATCTCTCATCGAAAATACGTAAAAATGTATTGATATTGTGAGTAAGATGAATTTAGCTACTTGAAAATTTAATTGAATACATATTTGTCAATAATACCCTCATATTACAACGACTGCAATAACAAATACATTTGAATGACACAGATATTGCAGAAATATCCCCTGTATATATACAGCGCGAAGCTTCAAACAAACTTGAAAACTTTCTACGAATATTTATCGTATTTTAGAAAATGTGTTTGATCCCTGGTAATTAACATGTGTATTGTTAATCGAGTGCATTAGTCATCATAATTGTCGAATCAGTATGTAAGTACTGGTATAGTAAATACTATCAGAGGAGCCAATATTTCGAGATTTTGAATGACACCATGCAGTAGACAAAACGAGCATATTTATACGAGTTAAAAGGTTACCAGCAATAATTTATATCAGAACAATAATTCTTATCAGAATTCATTGTTCAATGACGCTAGCTTTTCATTGTTCTAATTTTGGAGTGCAACAAATTTATAGACGTAATTTCCTTTAGTCCTGCCAAATATTTTGTTGTAATGCAATTTTGGAATCTCTACCTTCAATTTGAGGTCTAATTTCGAATTGTATAAAATGTTACATCAGTTAGTTTGACACAAGAAAAAATCTTCCATGCAATCAAAAATTAACTTTCATTTCTCCTGCATGCGTCGCAGCTGCAGTCAATCGTTATCTCGGATCATATCTTCTCGATAACAAACACTGCTGTTCTTTACTGGGGATAAAAGGGAATATTTTTAGGTGACGCCGTGTCGTGGCTATCCTATTGCTGTCAGGGCACTAATGAGCTTCGTTATACGCGAGAATAACCAAAGTTTCGTGCAGTTTTGTGTCATAAATTCCCGCGTGATCACTTTGAGCGAGAATGTCGCGCTCAGGGTCGGAGCTGACATGCACAGGGTGAGCAGCAAAAGCTTGGGTACCTGACACGTTAAAATATTTATTTTATTTGCCATTTCATGCAACTGAGCTTCCTTTGCTGATATTTTCTCAGTTTGTTGATAAATAATATACGTTTAAAAATTACTTTTTAAAAACAACACTTCCAAAGAATCCAGTGTCTCCAATCTTACAGATGGACGATGAATTTCTCCTCTAATTTTCGAAAATTAAAAAAATTAATTTTTCAATTCAATTTTTTTAATATATATTTTTTTAATATATAATTTTTTCAAAATTATTTATTCTGTTAATTGATTCATGCATTGCCTCTCACTTCACACAAGTGTGCAAAATTTCAGATCGATTAGACAGGTATAAGTGTGTCAAATATCAGTAATAAGATTTGTAGCTGACAAAATATTTTTTCAATTTTTTTTAATATTGAAAAAAAAATTAATTTTTTAAATAATTTATTTTGACATTTGATTCATGCGTTGTCTCCAACTTTACACAAGTGTGCAAAATTTCAGATCGATAGGATAAGTAGAAGTGTATTAAATTTCGATTACAAGATTTGTAGCAGACAGACAAACAAATAGACAAGAAGTGAAGTTAAAGAGAAGTGTTGTAAAAAATGCTGCTCATTATTAATTATAAAAAATTTATGGTAAATATCCAATGAGCATTTCCTTCTTTTTGCTCTCAGAACATTGGTCAATTATTGAGATCTCTTTTTCATTTACGAGGAAGGTTCTACATAAAATTATTTTCTAGTAGATAATTTGCTTGAGAAGATACTTCGTATCACTGGTTGCTTGTTTGCCCATAAATTTAGTTCTTTTTTGAGTAGATAATGCATACAACGTTGACTGCTATAGCATGGATGTCATCGTAAAATGACTATACAAATTCTTTTTTTAATTGCTTGCAGGTAAGCGGGCAGCTCTACGGAATATTATTCAAAAAACTTCGTAAGTACGTGAAATTTTTAAAGTTGTTGCAGAAAATTCCTCTACTTATGCTGCAAAAAATGAAACATATTTTATAGTACTCAAACTAGCAATTGTTCGAAAATTTGATTATGGATGTTTAAATTATATTATAAAAATTAGCGTATCAAATGTTACGTTTTAGGAGCTATGAAAATGTGCGTCATATGGATATAAAGATCAATTTTCTTGAAAAAGAGGAAGATGGTTTGATTAAAAACAAAATCTAAAAAATCGAGGACTGTCTACGATATTTTCCTTTAATTTTTTTATAATTGGAAAGTTAGCCGTACACATTCATACGCCACACCTTCGAAAATTCAAGCAGGTTTATAATGTACAAATAATAAAATGCATCGTGTACGAATACGTTCACGGGCTATATAAAAGAGGCGCTGATGAATTGAGAATTAAAAAGAGCGTTGAGAGAGCAGCGCTCACCGTAGACCATGCCACGGTAGCAAGAGCAGCGTTCAGAGAGCAGCGCTCACCGTAGACCATGCCACGGTAACAAGAGCAGCGTTGAGAGAGCAGCGCTCACCGCAGACCATGCCACGGTAACAAGAGCAGCGTTGAGAGAGCAGCGTTCACCGTAGACCATGCAACGGTAGCAAGAGCAGCTGAGAGAGCAGCGCTCACCGCAGACCATGCCACGGTAGCAAGAGCAGCGTTGAGAGAGCAGCGTTCACAGCAGACCATGCCACAGTAGCAAGAGCAGCGTTCACCGCAGACCATGCCACAGTAGCAAGAGCAGCGTTCACCGTAGACCATGCCACAGTAGCAAGAGCAGCGTTCACCGTAGACCATGCCTCGGTAGCAAGAGCAGCGTTCACCGCAGACCATGCCACAGTAGCAAGAGCAGCGTTCACCGTAGACCATGCCACAGTAGCAAGAGCAGCGTTCACCGTAGACCATGCCTCGGTAGCAAGAGCAGCCTTCACCGCAGACCATGCCACAGTAGCAAGAGCAGCGTTCACCGTAGACCATGCCACAGTAGCAAGAGCAGCGTTCACCGTAGACAATGCCACGGCAGCAAAAGCAGCGTTCACCGTAGACCGTGCCACGGTAGCAAGAGCAGCGTTGAGAGAGCAGCGTTCACCGTAGACCATGCCACGGTAGCAAGAGCAGCGTTGAGAGAGCAGCGTTCACCGTAGACCATGCCACGGTAACGGCTTCATCTCCGGCTTGTCAGGCTCAGTGGGTGAAGCTCAATCAGCAGGGCCACTACTGCTTGTGTTTTAGCGGCTGTTGTCTTTTTTGTTACATCTGTTGTCACTTTTGTTAAAGTTTAATTAAATATATTAGCGGTACATTTGACATGGCAGTAGCGGTTAACGGTTTAACAATTTAACCGTTCACCGCTACTGCATAAGTGCCAAATGTACCGCTAATATATTTAATTAGAGACGATTAACAGAAAAAATTTCTGCATTGTTAATTTGTATTCGACTGTTCGGCATTATTGTGTAAAATAAAATTCAAATTTCAAATTCATGATATTCGTATTCAGGTTTGTAAGCCTGAAATCCACTCCTGAATCTATTTTGCATTGACTTGCTATCTTCAACTAAACAAAGATATTTCAATTCAAAAATTTGAAGGAACAAGCCTAATTTAAGGGAGATTTGCCAGCTAACTATTTATTTTTCCCTCTCATATAATATTCATTCCCTTATAGTGCATGTAATTGTATGAATACTTATAAATCCGTCATAATTTGTTAGTTTCGTGCTGATCTCGAGGCAAGCCTTAATTGCTTAAGCTTTGGCAGCGATTGTTCATTAAAGCCGTGACGTGCAGATGGAAAATTGATTTAATATAATTAAATCGATTTTATAATGATTTAATAATATTTAATATTAATAATATAATATAATAATTAAATTGATTTAATAATATCGATACGTGAGAGAAAATTATGATAATGCGATGCTCTATGAATACCAAAGAACGTTTCAGGTCAAACTATATTCATTGATGTAAATAGGCGCAGCCCAAACTCGTTTATAAAGCAATGCAAAATGTCAATGCAGTTGTGAACCGTGGATACCTTTACATTCAAATGCGCAAATAAATATGAATATTTATATAATTATTTTGTGTGATTACATTCTCAACAAGCTTTTAAGCTCTGAGATGCATAAGGATTACGAAGCGATAATTAAATTTTGTAGAAGAAAATAACTTCTACAAATAATCAATTTCAGCAAGCTAAACAAATATAGCAATTTGAACTGCTATATCACGTACGGTTTTCATCCATGCGGCATGCCAAAGTTTGCTTAAATAATCAATGATTATTTATCGAAAAGAAAATTGATCGAAGTGCACCGTTATGTAAACTTTGAAATTCATACAAAAACTCTGCATCTATCGTTTTTTTTTTCGGCAACAATCGGGAAACTGCCGCCTTTGTCAATCATAATTGCGCATCAAGAAGAATATAATCCTTCAGTAATAATTTGAAATACTTGAGTTTTTCAACAATATTTTATTTATAAGAACATGAGAACATGAAATCTAGCTAAACAGCAAATGCAATAAAAAATTAGGAACTGCGCTTCTAGCGTTAAGTCAGTTGACACGAATCTGAACGCCACCCCAATTTGACAATGACCTATTATTCACAATAATGTACGTACGTTATATTCAGACTCTCCAATTGGTGAAGTCAGTCAAATTCACAATTATTGTACTTCAGTCCAATTTTTTATTCTATGACAATTTTATGGAACATTGATTGAAATTGAAATTAATGAAAAAATTACACTTACAAGGCACTTTTTTGGTGCTGTATGCCTCGGCCGTGGTTACTTTAACAAATTAGCATTCAGGTCCCTGTAGTCCAATACATTTGACAAACAATCATATTCGCAGTAACTATGATCGTCATGAAATTCGAACGTCTCGACGACATCTAATATACCGCATCCTCCACACTCAGGGCGGCCATCCATACTAACTTCATTATTACAGAAGACTTCAGAGAGAAGCATAAATGTGGCGTTCCGGCATGTGGCATAAATGTGGCGTTCCGGCATGTGGCATAAATGTGGCGGTACGGCATATTTATGGTAATTGTCTACCGGCGATTGGGGTTTGATTTTGGTGGTGCCGCGTAACTGGAGTCAGGTGAGGGCGAAAGAAATTATTATCGATCGTCTTTTATCGAACTTATTAAAGGTTGTTAAAGATTTCTATCCAACACAATTGTTGAGGAATTTTTTTTCGCAAAAAAAAGTTCTAATAAAATACACTACAATTTAAAAGCTAATGAGGCAAATTACCTAAAACTTCACAGACATGGCGATCATCAAATTCAGAGCTCGTGATATGCAAGTTCAAATTTGCTGCATTTATTTTCCAAGTCATTGCATTACGTTGGCTTTAAATTTTACCATCGGGATTGGCAAGAAATACTTACTAACGCGCCAAAATCAGGTTCGATATTAAGCGAAATAGATTGGTGCTTACATTAGCTGTTGTATTTGCCGGGAAAATATACGAAATTGAGGGATTTAGAGGCGCTCTGAAAAAATGTGTATTTATTTAGGTTTTATAAAGCAAGCTTTCAGCCAGTTTAACCGATGAAATGGAAATGGTAAATTGCACTCTAACCGCTGGCTAGCTTACGTGCATGCACATTAATTAGTTTCAAGCTATATAAACAAATTGTGTAAATAAGGCTTAATTTCATTTTGTTAGTTTAGAACAAATACAAATTCGTTTAACCAAATAAAAACATTGGTAGAGAGATGAGAATATAAAAAAGTAAATGAACTCCACAACGGTAAAAATGATTTCCGATCGAATCAAATGAATGAAGGCAAATTTTAAAACTCGGGATAATTGTCATTTGTTAAAAAAATGTCAGGATAGACGAACAAATTTCGTTGCCCTGCTTGTCACTAAAATGTCAAGCTCTTAATTACAGGATTTATTTGTGTTTTAGTATTGCACGCGAATGAAATCCAGGTCTCACACTGTATCTTTTCATAAAAAATAAAATTATACCTTCAAAACATCAACGTTATTCTCTAACGACCATTATGGGAAAGAACCAAATATTTAGCAATATATAGTGAATAAACTATATAGGTATAAATCATATATTGAATAAATTTGTTTCCTACGTTGGAACCTCTAGGAAAAAAATTTAAATTAGATATGACTATATATTTGAGATAATAATAATGTAGCGGTTTCAGCGTTTATTGGGCCGTAGGTCTGTCGCCGATTCTTAACATCGCAGAACATTCACAGCTTGTTGCGGTCTTGAACACGCAACTCACTGCTACAATTCTACTGTGCTTAAACCCCCCCCCCCGGCTTCAATATTCTTTCATTTATCTTTTTTATTGAATAAATTAGCAAGTGTCAGGAGGCATTATTAAGCGCCGTCAGACTAATTACGTATATTCAACCTGAGGACAGGGATTTCTTGACTTGTTGTTGAACTGCATGAAGAATAAGAAAGACACTACTTCTCTCTATAAAATTTATCATGATACGGGGCGATTATACATAAGCGTCAATACAGAGATACAGACAGGTATAGGCCAAGACGTCGACCGTTAGGTCGGAGTAACTCAAACGAGTGTTAAGAGTTGTTAATGGCAGTGCACTTACTTACTGGGGTCCTTACCATGGTTCCCAGCCCTTTTATAGACTTCTACTTCCGCCCACTACTGGAGTCTTGATCGCGTAATGTGTCACGTGACGTTGTCCATGCCTGACTCTGCTAATTTTATCGTAGTGACCCACGTAGTGACCCACGTAGTGACCCACGTAGTGACCCACGTAGTGACCCACGTAGTGACCCACGTAGTGACCCACGAGAATATTACGAACTCTCAACCCACTGAGCCCACCAGCAGGTTACGAACCCATAATTAACCCACGTGACTAGATTAATAGCACGATACGAGCCCACAACCCACGAGCACGTGACATATCCGCGTAGCCCACGAGCACGTAACATCCGCGTAGCCTACGAGCACGTGTCATATCTGCGTAGCCTACGAGCACGTGACATCCGCGTAGCCTACGAGCACGTGACATATCCGCGTAGCCTACGAGCACAAGATGAGTCCACAACCCACGAACACGAGACAAATCCCCGTAGCCTACGAGCAAGTGACAAATCCGCGTAGCCTACGAGCACGTGATGAGATCACAACCCACGAACACGAGACAAATCCGCGTAGCCCACGAGCACGTGATGAGTCCACAACCTACGAGCACGAGACGTATCCGCGTAGCCCACGAGCACGTGACATATCCGCGTAGCCTACGAGCACGTGATGAGTCCACAACCCACGAGCACGAGACGAACGTACTTCATCACCTCGAGGCGAAGCGTAAGGCCATTTCTCGCTACGATTTATGCGAAGCGAGCATAAAAGGACATATTTTTGGCAGGCCTTTCATGCCATATATAATGTGTTTGTCGGACAAGCAAAAATGTTCGAGTGCTGCCCGGCGCAGAGAATATATCTGACTTAAGTGGACAAAGTAACGTCGGCCTTGTGACTTTCGCAGACTGCTTCTTGATGAAGCTTGTGCCGCGTCAGAGAGACTTCCCTTCTGCTCCCAACTGCGTCTCTTTTTTTTCTCATGAGGACTTCTAGGAATATGTTGCTCTAGGATATGTTGTTGCCGATAGGGTATTCAGTTGGGCATAAATTTCTACTAGGAGAATAGTTCTTTTTATCTTTTTATATATTATTGCTGATAGGGTTTTCAAATGGTTATATGCTTCGAATGGGAGAAAATAATTCTTGCTATATATTGTGGCTTATAAGGTATACAGTTGGAGTTGGGCATACGCTTCAACTAAGAGAATAGTTCTTGCTATATATATTGTTGCTGATAAGGTATTCAGTTAGGCATACTCTTCAACTGAGAGAATACACCTCTGTATAGTTTGCAGCGTAGAAAGCGTTGGGTTTGAGAACACTCGAGTATGGGTGCTGTTGGAAAAGATGTGTATAAGAGTTTATAAATATTCAAATGATGCTAAGTTATTATTTTTTGATTAGCAATTAGCTGGAAGGTTTGATATTGAAGATATATGGCACGCAGCAGTTCTATTATATGTTATTAATAT